TGAAAGGTTTTTAGAATATATATATATATATATAGGCAGTCTAAGAACAAATTGAAAACCCCTTATACAAGCAATAAATTGCACATATAAAATCTTAAATTTATTTGAGATGATTTAAGATAAATGAAAAATCTTGGCAGCTGAACAAATTTTATATATTATTATAAAATTCCTTGCTTTATTTCAGTTTTATGGAAAAGAGTTTATTCCTTCAAACTATTGTTTTCTATTGACATTTAATCAACATAGAATATTTAATTGTTTAATTAAGTATAATATTAAAATCAAAGTAGCAATTGCTTAAGTAACTCAAAATCCCTTTAATGTAATAACAAATTAAAATAAATTTCCAATCAGTTTTCTCCTTAACCAAAACCGCTTTTGTTGGGTGAGGTCAACTCAGCTGAATTGTAATGCAAATATTTTGCTAGGAAACAACATTGAACAAATATACAATTAGTTATGTGTTTTGTTTACCTCATTACTGTTGATACTCTTGCTTCATGTATTCCGCGAATAAAGTTCACAATTTGTAACAAAGGAAAACATTTGGCAGAATAAATCATTACCCAAAACTTTTACTTGTGAATTTGCTCGTCAATCTCTCGTTGCCCGTTCTCCCTGCTCGTATGTAGCTACATATATGTATGTTGCTCATAACTGCAGAAGCGGTGTTATTTTTAGGAATTCAGCAGTGAAAAACTTTTGCGGTTTGTTTGCCTACAAAGGGAAAACAAAAACAAAAAATGTGAATAAAATTCGCGCGTGAGCAGTGCCACCCAACCGCAGGCCAAATAAAAGTGCAGAACTCAAATGTATGACTCATAAATTACTGGAACGTGTTTTCCCACGTGACAGGTGCAGTCGCTCCGCACCGTCCGACTTGGTATTTGGATTGGATCCCCAGGCACCGACAAGCGAGCACCGAGCACCGCGAGCCGCGAGCCACCAGACACTGGGCACCTGGCCACCCGGCCACCTGGCCACCAGCTCCCTCACAGCTCAGATAAATTGCACAGCGACACTTTATCAGCGCTGGCCGTAAAGCGAGGACGACGACGAGGTCTCTCGCAGTCCTGCTCTGCTGTCGCTTAATACCACAAATTATGATTATTGTTTAGTAATTTCGTTGTTGTTAATGTCGCCTGTCGTCTGTCGCTGGGGCCGTGTTTAAATTGCTAAAAACATTTTCATGCATGCGTTGGCAGATTTTCATTACGCGTTGCCCTTGAAGGGGCACAGCTGCCTTTTCAAGAATTTTCTCGTGCAAATTATACAAATGCGCGAAATTTTGGTTGGCTGCTCTAATTAGAGCTTGATAAATGCCTTTTTTCATGCTGCCTTCCCATTCAGCGGCGAATTTCCCTTTCTTAATGATGGCCGCAAAACACATCGCTATTCACAATGAACTTAATTATAAAATGCTTCAAAGGCGGCTTAATTGTTGCTATTCGCCATGAACTTTGTTAGCTGGAATGCCATAGCAACGACAAGCATATCAATTTCTGCCTTTCTTGATAGTAGGAGTTCATATGTGGTTGAGGTTTGCGGTTAGCTGGATGATGATGATGATGATGGGGATGGCTGAGTGTTTTAATATATATTCATATATACATAAATTTATACACGTACTCTCTTCAGTTATTTTATCCACAACTGCAGCGCTTAAAAAAATATTTTGCTGCCTTAAATAAATATTGCTGAACAAATAGTGGCAGCAAAATTAAAACAAAATTTTTGTGTAAAATAATATTTACTAAAAGCAAATTTGTTTTGCATAATTTAATAAAATTTATGTTTTGAAATGAACAAAAATAAATATTTATTATGTGTACATATGTCTGAAAATATTTTTAGTAATTTCTAAAATCACATAGAATTTTGGTATATCATGAAATTAAAATGAAATTCGTCGAAAGTATTTTTCATAAATTCAGCATATTATGGCTGCTTCCCTGAGGCTTGACTTGACTTTTACTACAGTTCTTGGAAAATGTGAAAATAAATATTGAATATTATAAATATATAAATGCATCGAGTGATTGATTACTTGACATATAGATTAATATTATTATCATTAT